CATCCTAGAAAACACGAACTGTAGTCGATTAAAGTAGCAAGTAGCGCGCCTTAAAAACACGAAGTTCCTTTTAATTTCCATAATCGTAATTTCCCTGGGTGAAAAGTTGATTTCCTTTGAGGTAAATTTCACGTCAAAGTTTAAGAAAAAGCTATTAGAGTTGCGCTTCTCACGCTATGATCTGAGTCCTTGGCGTTAGCCTATCTCGTTAGGAAACATTGAAGATCTACAAAGACTATCCAGAAATTTAAGAGAAATATTAAATTGGTCATACTATAGGAACAACCCCAAAAAAAAAATAATTTCCTACAGCAGCACTAAAATAATTTATAAGTAGAAAATATCCCAACCACAGCAAACCTAGAGACTTCGTGAATTTACATTTGTCGAATCGGAGTTTCACTCAAGATTCCCTTTATAATGAATGACAAGAGTTATTCCCTATTTAAATACATTTAGGTTTATCGAGTGCTTAGGTTTGCTGCTACAGGGAAGGTAAAAAAGTGTGTTGTAAAGGTAATAAAATGTAAAGTAAAATAATTAAACTTTTTATGAAACCGATACATTTTCCGAATTTGATCAATAAATAACCATAAACAGTTTACTTATTCACCATACCAATAACATGGAAATTTGAAATTTAGGGGTTTACCAATTTATTCCGCAACCAATAATATAAATGCTTCAATTGTATAAGCTCTATAAAATGGTTTTGTAAGAAATTGTGAAATTTAACGCTTTGCGCTTGGAACTGGAATAACCTATTTCCCCATAGACCGTCATGCTGGTTCGCTAACTCATTGAACAAGCGTAGGATTACACGTTTGTAGGCTACCAAATGTCATCGAAATCGAACCTTTTTTATTCGAGATATCAAATTGGTCCCAAAATGAATTCCGTCTGCCTCTCAAAATTATGATTCGACCAGAAATGTAAAAAAGTTCGCTTCTGCTTCCCCGATTTATCTGCAAATAATGCAAAAAATATCACAAAAATCGTTCATTACAAGTTGAAACAATCCCCTTAAGATTTAAGAGCAAACAAGAAACAACGTTCCTACACAAGGGAAATAATAAATTTATTGCATCTAATTTTTTTGAAATACAACACTAAAAATTTAAACTGGTGAGTACGATGAGTTGTCAAATTACTCCTTGGATCCAGCGAGTAAAGGCACATTCATCCGTTCGTCACCTGAGTCGATAGGCCTTTGGAAATGTTCAGCAGTTATTTAGGAAAATTACCCGTGGACCTATTTAATTTTAAAACAATAATATAAATGCACCATCAAAAGACGTATAAAAAATTATGAAAATCGTTTAAAAATTAAATGTCAAAACCAATTGCTGGATGATGAAGACCACTTGGACAAAGAAAGGATGTCACTATCTGAAAGTTGTGATAACCCAATTGATAACAAGCGACAAGTTGAATATACAAGGACCAATGATCAAATGAACATTAAACATGTGTACTTGCTTGTGCTCTCACACGTCCGGAATTGGTTTTTAGTATAAATAAAATTTTCGTGATTATAAATCGTCAACATTTTAGGTCCGAACTACCCGAGTTATTGTCTTCCGAAGCTTTACGTCAAATTATTGTCATCGTACCTCCCACCGGTATTAGGGCCTATGTACCGTAGTTGAACAATGTTTTTTTTCATGGAATGAAAAGATAAACCTAATGCAGATCCCAAAACGCATACTTTTGAAAATTCGCAATGCCATTACGATTCTTATAAGCTGAAGAAACGAAATTTCTAAAGTTCTCTGATATACTGACCAAAGCGCACAATTCCAAAGATTCCTTTGAATTACATTTCAAACCACACGCCCTTATAACCCTAGTGTATTATGTTATGAATAATAAAAGAATGGATGTTTATGACAACAGGGCGTTGGTTTAGCTAGAAACAAATTAGCTGTCCTGTCTGTCACGCGGTAAACTAAACTCAGCAGGCTACACCAACGCGAAATACCAAGTTACTGCTCTTTTAAGTTGAGCAAGTTCAAGCATTAAGCATGTCACTGGGTCCGGAAAACCAGGAGGCTCACATATACATAGGCACAGATACACATGTCTTCCCGAAAAGGGCTTTTATATAGATGTGCAAAATCTCGACTACAAAAAATCAATACTTGCATATACAGTATATTAAAACAATAACCGAGAATAAAATACAATACCAGTATTAATGAAATCATGTGCATAAAAAAGTACCAAGATTATATAGGTTAGTAGTTTTTATAAGTATACTAAGTCCCGCGCGTACCGTATAGCTTCCGATATCATAGACTTCCCCACACGTCGACAGATGCGTGTCCCAAATTTGACAACCCATGTCCTTTAACCAAAAATACATCATTACAGCACCATTAACATTTATTACGCCACAGAAAGAAATATCAAATGACGCACCCGTTGTAATTTGATACGATATTTTCCGCTTACATCCACAACAATGGATATGGGAATGCTCAAAAAGCCAAAATATGAAATAGCAAACTTGAAATTATTAAACTATTATATAATTTACACAAATCATGAGGGTTCTCCGTTGACTGCAGCCCAACTAGAAATGAATTGGCCACGACCGCCTGACTATACTCGGTCACTGATAACGTCTTCGAAAACTGGTAGTGTTGTTGTGTTCCAATGGTTATTCTACTACAGTCAACGGCATATCTAAGCCAATTTCCGCATATAATGCCTCAGGTTTGAGAGGTCTCTGCGATTCTAAAACACACTGAGGCCAAAATGTTGCAGTTGCAGCGTTTGGGTCCGGAATCAAACAAGTGGCGCGCCAGATTCAGCGTCTGCCAGACTGTAATTGATTAAATTGAAGTTGAAGGACAGACTTCGTACAAACAAGAACGTGGCAGGGGTAAAAATAGAATGTTTGGAGCCTCCACCACGAGGGGAGAGAGCAGTTCCCTCGACTACCCCAAAATCACCACCTTCGCCTAGCAACAGGGTGCGATACTAGCGGTACTGAAAACATAAGTCCACCCCTCTAGGTTCCCGAGCCGCGCCATCCGTGTAGGCTAACAAAAACTAGCTAGGGGCTCAATGTTAATTTCACAAAAACAATTAAAAGTATCCTGCAAGCCTACTTAGTCCAAGTCGAATCCCACCCCCATCCTCTCAGTGTTAAAAAAGTTAACACAACTCCGAACTAGGAACTGTTGTACACTCGCAGACTACAAAACTGACGCTAAATAAATACACATCTGTACACACAATGACGACTAGAAAGATACAAATACACACGTCGGAACAACATTAGCACTTGCACAACAATTAGCAGTAATAGAAAACGACCAACGATAAATTTTAAACTCATTTATCCATCATCGAAGACTTGTAACAACTGAAAATCTCGAAAACAAACATGAACAGCTGGGATTGCAACTACCCTCAATCCAGTAAGGGAAGATAACGGTTATCATATGTCCATCACAATGTAATGACATTCCAACAAACCATTAGTCATCATCAGATGTGAGCTAAATAATAGTCCAAACATACAAGGGTTGAATGTTGCAAACTTGGACGCCAGGAAGATGAGGGATTACCATTATGCCATACTTTTAATTAAATTTATCACCAATTAAAATAAAACTGTTCCATATAATCTGGTTCTGGGATATTAACATTTAAAGTCGCAATACATATAAAAAAATAAACACATAGGCCTACAATGATAACAGTTGTCAGAGTCGACCTGATAACTAGATTACGTAGAAATAGTAGGCTAATCATTTTGCTGTGACATGTAAAACGAAGACTACATAAATAAATATTTACGACTGCTCGAGAATGACTCACGCAAGTGGGCGGGGTACCACGTTCCATAGGGGAGAGTAACCATAGGGGATGCAGGGGTCGACTATGTGGAAATTGTATTGCATTGCACGCATCGAAGCTAGGGAATTACATGAGTTTTGTAACTCACTAATCCGAATTGTTTGCGACTTTAGCATCCAGTAAATTTCTCAAACGTCGTTATTTAAATATACTGAATAGTTTCTATATTGGGACGGGGTTTATAATTGTTCCCGAAAATCGTAAAAAGCAATACCTAATTAATGTATTATAATTATGCCTAATTGAAATTGTATATTTTATAAATTGGCCACCTCCCGTGGAAATGAGTAAATAAATAATGATTGCATTGGTTAAGATTGATTGCATTTGAGGCAATCAATAAATTAATAAATAACTTCATGATCAGCATCGTACGTATTATTTAGTTACCTGAAAGCACAAAAAATAAGTCAAATAACACTTATGAAGATATATATTTACACTTATACTGTTTACTACCCATATACTGTTTGAGACGGTATACATATCAAAGATGGTAAGTGGTGATCGATTTCGATTGGAGTGTCTAATCGAATTCGATCACCACTTACCATCTTGTGAGTAAATAGTATAAGTGTAAATTATTATAAGTGTTATTTGACGTACTTTTTGTGCCTCAGATAATTTAATAAACCAAAACGCTTAAAGTTGGTGAACTAGGCCTATATTGACAATAACTGTAGGCCTATTCAGTAGTAATGTATTAAAAAACAATTTTAAGTGTAAAAGACGGGGCACACAAACTAGTAGTTTGAATTCAATGTAACAAAGCCGTAGTTAGTTGCTCTTGCACAGGTGGGTTGCTAACAAAGCGACAACAATGGAATAAAACAGCTGTCCTGGGCCTTGCTCTTTGTCGAAACGAGATTATTTAAAGCATTGAGCAAGATAAGTGTTCAATGTAGACAACTGAGTATTTTATGACAAATTTACAAGCAATAACTTAATACATAACACATTTGAACAAAAACACAAATCCATTTCAGAAAAGTGGTCTGTTACCTGTGTGGACGTGATTAGTTTAAAACATATGTTCTTTTAAAGATTAGTGAAAACATGAAAATGTATACTAGGTACTTGTAACTTTAAATATAAAGAAAAATACATGCAGAAAGTTTAAATTAACATACCGCTTCCGTGACGTCTCGTGGAAGATGTTTTATCTGGAGGGACCGGCCCGTATGGAAAATACTTTTACACGATAACACTTTCTTCTTAATTTTTTCTTCCGGATCATCTTCCCAGAAACTGTCCGTTGAAGCCGTGGCCAAAACTTGAGCTCCATAACAAAACTTGTTGGCATCAGATTTTAATAAATTTGAATTGAAACTGTGGAGCGCCGGCGAGGAGGAAGAAAACGCCGCTTCGGTAGATCCGGTAGCCATAACTCACAAACTATCGTGTAAATTGGTTCAAAACACTCACAAGATTTTTTTGTATCACAAAATCACTAAACTTTAATTCACATAACTGACCAACGCGTCACCAAATTTCCACTATCACTCGCACCAACTACATCGAACGTCGATACAGGACTGGCGCCAATCGTGGTTCTGTTAACTTGAGCGCCGCGCGTCCCTACAGCAGCGCTCCTAGCGAACGATCCCTGCAACAGTTCCAAAAACTAAAACTATTGTTCTAAAGTTATTGGGTTCAATCATGTCAAAGGCCCCCTCCCACTCACACAGTCAAGTAGGAAGTTGGTCTTATTGAAATAATGTCATGCTTCAATGTTGAATTGAGGAAAACTGTTCATTTTAATTGTAGGTCCTTAAAAACAATTCATAGTAGATAATGGTTTAAGACAAACTACTTTAAAATAAATCAAAACCTAACCGAAGTAAAATATGTAGGTACTGTACTATCCACATTAATCATACTCCCTCCCTTTATAGACTGTCATCCTCGTGGATCAGATGAAGAAAGTTTTAACTGTCAGCTCTGTCCGGTTTGTAATAAGGCCTTGTTGCCGTTAAGTATTCAGTTCAAGCAAAGACATTTTTTATGATGTTTATTTACGTGTTTACGTAATGTTAAGTATTTGTTTTGAGCTCCATGAAGTTAGCGTGTACCCATGTTAGCGTATCCAATTTTGTTCATACCAATCGTTAGTTCTCGATAGTTCCCCAATATTTGTGTTAGTTCTCAAAAATTAAAATACCCCCGCCGCAGCAAACCTGCCGACTTAGCGAATTTCCATTTGTCTGAATTGATTTTCATTAAATATATTTAAATAAAATAAGGTTTAACGAGTACCTAGGTTTGCTACTACAAGGAAACTAATAAAGTGTGTTTTTAGTCAAATATTAATAGCTTAGTGTAAAATAAACTAATTTGCCAAGTTTGATCAAAATATATCCATAAACAATACAAAATTGCAAAATTGCAAAATACAACATTTTACAATATTCTCCATAAGAATAACATGGGAATTTTAAATTTACGATTTTTAAAATTTTCTCTGTTACCAATAACCGAACAAAAATACTTTGGTATACTAAATTATTTGTTTTTTTAAACTCTTTAAAAAGGTCTAAAGAGAAATTGGGAAATTTTTTGTTTTGAGGGTCTAAAGTGAGAAAAACCAATACCCCATCAAACCCCCCGTAAAACCACGTTCCCATGGTCCGATCATCATGCTGGTTCCCGAACTCATTCAAGTTTATCCCGCTTTACACCTTTAAACCAGATTTCATCAAAATCGGACAAAAATGACTCAAGTTACATATATAAAAACACATATAAAAACATATACATATATAAAAATTTGAACGAATGGTGTTTTTGGCCTCTAGGGACATAAAAATGAAAAAGTAAATCGGTCCCGGGCCTAGGTCTTACCATGCCACCTACGGTAATAGCTACTTCCCTATAGGGAAATTCGCTAAAAGTTATAGCCGATAAAAAGTGGGTACGCATCAAACTTCTGGCTACTAGTGCCCCGTTTTCTGATGAAAAATGCTTACATATATTTAGTTCTTTGTTAATTCTCCATAGTTTTATAATATTGTAACTGACACTCGAAAAATAAAAAAGTTACGAGGAATAAAAAGCTAACTTAACAATTATAGAATTTCCAGCGGGCACCGTTTTCTGACAAAAAATGCTTATATATATATATATATATATATCAATCGTTAGTTTAGTTCTTCATTAGTTCTCAACAGTTTCCTAATATTTTCGTTAGTTCTAAAAAAAGAAAAAAAAGTTATAAGGCATTCAACATGGGTACGCTAACCACACCTTTAGAATTTCCAGCAGGCACCGTTTTCTGTCGAAAAATGCTTATATCTTTATACTATTTGTTAAGTTCTCCAATATTGTTGCTAGTTCTCAAAAAATATAAAAAGTTACGAGGCGTAAAATGTGGGTACGCTAACTTCACAATTATAGAATTTCCAACGGGCACCATTTTCTGACATAAAACGCTTATATCTATATACTAATCATTAGTTCTCGATAGTTCTCCAATATTGTTGCTAGTTCTCCAAAAAAAAAAAAAAAACCGTTAATAAGTGGATACGTTAACATCACACATCCGGTTTCTAGCGCACACTGTTTTCTGATGAAAAATGGTTACATATATTAAGTTCTTCATTAGTTCTTTGTTAGTTCTCCATAGTTTTATAATATTTTTACTGAAACTCAAAAATAAAAAACTTACGAGGCATAAAAAGTGCCCCAAACAACTTCAAATTTCCAACGCACTAAAACTTTTTTTGTTGAGTAACTTGTTTTTGTTAGTTTTCCAAAAACAAAAAAGTTATAAGTCATTAAACATGGTTATGTCAACTTTACACCTTAAGAATTTCCAGTGGGCACCATTTTTTGATGAAAAATTCTTACATCTATATACCAATCGTTAGTTCTTCATTAATTCTCGTTAGTTCTCCAATATTGTTGTTAGTTCTCCAAAAATAAAAAAAGTTATAAGTCATTAAAAGTGGTTACGCCAATTCAAACCTAAAGAATTTCCAGCGGGCACCGTTTTCTGACCATGAATGGTTGTATCTATATACCAACGGGTACTTCTTTGTTGCTCTTGACACTCCTTCAAGATTTTCGTTACCGGTAGTTCTAAAAAAATAAAACAAAGCTATAACGTTGTTCTTCATATGAAGGTGCGGTAATCGGAGTGTCAGATTAATGATACCAGTTATTATCGGCCATAACATTGTTTTATATTTTGTAGAACTGACAAAAATCCGGTAGAACTATCGAGAATAAACAAAGTAGTAACGATAAGTAGGCTATATAGATTTGAATATTTTTCTTTAGATAAAGGTGCGCACTAGGATTTATGTATGTTCCTTTTTTTCGCCTTGTAACTTTTTTTATTTTTTGAGAACTAACATCAATATGCAAGAACTTTCAAGAACTAACAAGGAACTAATTTTTGATTTTTGGAGAACTAACAACAATATTGGAGAACTAAAGAAAAACTAACAATTGGTATAGACATAAGCATTTTTTGTCAGAAAACGGTGACCGCTGGAAATTCTTTAGGTATGAAGTTGGTGTAACCATTGAATGCCTCATAACTTATTTATTTTTGGAGGACTAAACAAAATATGAGGAAAACTATCGTGAACTAACGAAGAACTAACAATTGGTATATACAGATAAGCATTTTTCGTTAGAAAACGGTGCCCGTTGGAAATTCCATAGGTGTGAAGTTAGCATACCCACGTTAAAGGCCTTATAACTTTTTAATTTTGAGAACTAACAAAAATATTGGGGACTATCGAGAAATAACGAAGAACTAATGATTGGTATGAACAAAAGTGGATACTCTAACATGGGTGCACTAACTTCACGGACCATTAGTTTCGTGTTATACACGAATTATTATTTTTTAAATAATAATATTAATAGTTTATTAGTGTTGAATAACCTATTTTAACCAAATGAAAGGGTCGAATTATACAAAAATGCCAACTCTCTAATATAAGGTCCTTAACCACAGAAAAAAGAGTAGCCACAGAAGTCTCACGAGATATGCGATAAGCGGTCGCCGATTCTTATAGTGTTCGAGTGAATGCAGGCGCTGTCTCGACTCTAAATCCAGTTTGAAGCGTGCCTTATTGTCAAATCGTGTATCGAGTGGATTCCCATTTCCCAAAAAATGGTAAAACTGCAACGCTGCGCTAAGCTACACCTAACATTGACAGTGCCAAAAAATCAGTAGTTGCAATACCAAAAGCCTCCCACTGTTCTTAGACATACAACAAAATAAATAAACCCGGGTAAAGATATGAAATCAAATCTGTTAGTTATTTTATTTTGTTTACTTTTACACTTTATTTGAGAAAAAAATGACTAAGTGATTTAGTAAGCCTATAATGTTCGCAATAAATTTTATGTTTTAAAGTTACGCTTTAATTCCTAATAATTAAAAGTCTTAAATTAAACTACTGCATATAATGATTTTGTATATTAAAATTCAGTAACAATTATAACAATAACAGTTATGGTAATAATAATAATGTATACAAATGAACACACTGTTGCTGTAGAACTGAAGGGAGGCATCCAGCTGTGGAAGGCCAGGGCACCGTCCGTGCTCTCAAACCTAACATATCAATTGAGGTTCGAGATTGGTTGTGTGTCGACGGAGGGTGACACATTCGAGGCCCTAAAGAAAGCTGTCTCAGAGCTTAGCGGACAAATGGCTGTTCTTAGGGTGTGACTCACCTTACCAAACAGGAGTCGGCAGCGGTGGTGGTCGCCGAAATGGCAGACGCACACGCCAGTAGGGTATTGACACTCCAGCAACAGAGGATCGGCTAGGTAAACTGCAGGCTCAGACGGAGGGTAGAAGAAACAAGGTGTTTTAAGTACCTACTTGGTTTAACGAAACTGCAAGGGTGTCACACTCGTAAGGACTGCCAAGTCGAGTCCTGTTTCCTTTGTAAGGATAAAGTACTTGCTGACAAGAATACTACGCATATAGCTGGGTCTGATTGTCTCAGCTTGTGAGTTGCGATGAGTCTATGTTACGCAGGAGATCCAGGTGCGATCAGCGACCTGTGTACTAGTGGACTGCCGAGATTATGGAATTGCATTGCGGTTCCTTGAGAGCCAGATGACTTGCTAATAGGGCCGAGGAATTCGCATACAGACGCCCTAAGTCGGAGGCTTACAAGGTGGCTAGGATGTCTCTACGCTGGGCAATCAACCATAGCAAACACAGTTGCTGGGAGAAATAAGAGACAATGTCAATTCCTATCAGTGGGGCCTGGGTTACAAACCTGTAACCCAGAAACTTGGCACCGACTGACAAGGTCCATGACCTTCTGTCATTGACGGGGCCATAATGGAGAGGATAGTCAAGTCCCATTTCCCGCCTCACATGCTGTACCCACTGTGGGAGTTCACAAGGGTGGACGATGTCCCACTGTTCAGTCTTGAGGAGTTGGAGGCGGCTGTTCTATCCCTGAAGAACAACAAGGCTCCTGTACCTGATGGGGTAACCGGCGAGGCCCTTAAGTAGGTTTTTGAAGAATCCCCAGATTATTTTG